CTCTATCTAAGAAGACTTCCACAAGGAACACTTCTGTATTGTAGAGAACCAACCCTGGTGAAAAATGCTGGCTGTCCTCAGGCCAGAAACTAGAAGTAAGTTGGCATGTGAAAATACAAGAGTCTGAATTCTATGACCTGAATTCTATGATCCTCTTTGATCACAAGTGGATGAATTTAACTCACCTCAAAGTGTAAAGCTTTGGCTGCTGACATTAATATGCATCCTCTAATTTACTTGAAGGCAAATAATTATTATAATCTTAATCAGTCCCCCAGTTGCTTTACTATTTTGGTATCAGATAGGACCACAAAAAGAGGGCAAAGATGAGGCCATGCCGACCTCTCTGTATGGCCATATGAAAAAACTAACAGCAGGGTAACTCCGATGCTAAAAAACTGGCATGGAAAAAACGTCCTAAATGACTGTATTTGATTAATATAGTAGCTAAGTGCCTTCCTCACACCTGAGCTCCATGTACAGGATGTGGTCCTGGTAAACTGATGATGTATTTCAAGACTCAGACTGGAGTTAGAAGATCAATTCAGAAATGTATACAGCCATTTTGCCCTTATGCAGTCTAATACATTTTTATGACTGCTGTTGCCCAAGTAATTCATAATCTTTTAAAAGGATCATCACTGATGACATTCCATTTTAATAGGCAGAGAAACATGAAGAAAGAGAATTAAAACAACTTATCTTGGGTTGCCAAGGAAAAATTTGGGAACCTTAGCAATGAACTGCACATCATTTTTTAGCATCCAGGCTCACACTGATTTTCAATCATTATTTTTCTCTAAGGCTCTGTATTTAAGGAAGCAACATACCAGAAGCATTGACCCAACAGACATCACCCTCACTGAACTGCAGTTGACCTGTTATTTCAGCCTGAGACAAAATCAACTCTAAAACTTGTTTGGGTTCTTCTATTTGCAGTTTAAGAGTCTTGCATAACCTATTATCTCCTCTTCTCCTGTAGTCCCACACATTCAGTTTTGATGCTAATGAGCCAAGAGCAGATTCAGTTACTGTATAACCCCAATTTATTTCCAGAGTATCACCTATTCTACGTACTGAAAGATGAGGACAAAAAAAAAAAAAAAAAAGAGGTAGCTATGAAATTTGAAGTTACATTAAAATGCAGAGCATTAGATGAAATTGAGACACACCCTAATTCTACATAAACCTGCTTTCTTGACTTTTCAAAGTTTTGTTTTAATTTCTGACACTGTAAACAATTCTCTAAAAAAAAAATTTGTTAATGACAGTAGTTGTGCACAACTGTAGCACCCTCCTTTCACTTATTACTGCAAAGGGTTCCATTTTGGACTCCCAGCAGTGCAGTGATCACCACCTATCACCTGAATTGAAGTACAAAAATACAATTACAGAGAGAAAGAAGATAAATGCAGCTGCTGGCTTCAGAACTCCACATCTGTGGACCAGGCATAAACTGCTACAGATACTGCTAATTAACATCAATCAGTGCTGGTGGTCTCCACCTAGGTGAAAACCTCATTTGACAAACAGCGGAGTTTTACTGTAGGAGAAACCATGCCTCTCCCATAGTTATCTACCTCCATGTGCTATACTAGTGTACATCATTTTATTCAATATTTTCTGTTATAAAAATAGAAATGTCACAGAAATAATGCTGGTGGTCAGCAGTGTCAATAAAGCTGGAACCCAGGTAGTGCTGCCTGGTTCCCAGCACAGTCCACACCTAGGTTGCCACCCTTCCCTGACCAGTCTGATAAGCAGGAATTGCAGCAGCAAAAGCATCCATTTCGCTCATGTCCCCGTTAGTGGTTAGTGCTGCATGCTAAAATTGAGCTGCAGTGTAAAACCAAGAGTTAGTACTCATGAGAAATGAAATGAATTTAAATTGTCCAGCAGAGCTGGACGGCACAGAGCTGTCAACAGGTTCAGCTAGGCCAATCCAAACATTTTGTGAAAGCAGCAAAAGGCAACCTTATAATTCCAGGATGATCTTATAAATGAATTTCAGGTTGTAAAAACTAGGTAAGTTATTATGTTTTGTAGTGCAAAGTCCTAGTGAACTAAATGTAGATATAAGAACAGCTCTCCCACTGTTTCTGTAATCTTCTCTTAAAAACCAAAATTGTTCACTTTTGTGATTTAGGAGTGATTTGCAGGTCTGAATCCCCAACTTTCAGTGAAAGAAGACCAGCAGTTCATGGAAAAGCTAAAATCTGTCAGTATTCATATGAAGACAGATGAACAGGTTGCCCAAAGAAGCTGTGGATGCCCCATCCCTGGAAATATTCAAGGCCAGGCTGAATGGGGTGTGGAGCAACCTGGTCTAGTGGAAGGTGCCCCTGCCCATGGAAGGGGCTGGAACTGAATGAGCTTTAAGGTACCTTCCAACACAAACCAGTCTGGGATTCACACTATGAACGTGTTTTCTGTGATTTGGTTTATTCTTGTCAGCAGTTGGGATCAGAGGAATTGCAGAAGCGTATACAGAACAGATTGACTAGTTAAAGAAAGCAGCTTACTGGAAAAAAAGCAGCTATGAAGGAAGTAGGCATGAGTTTCTCTTTCTTCCTTGTTGTTTCACCTTTTATGGCAGCAGATGATGCTCCTCAACTTTCAAAGTTCACATACACAGCCACAGCTATGTCTGCCAGTATATTTTCTTGTCCTCCGATAAATTGACATTGGTAAGACTTTACTCCATCTGAAGGTATTTCAACCAGATATATTAACTGCTTATTCACAGCACTCACTCCAACACCACAACACATTGTCATGGACTGTCTGTATGTGTTTGCTCTAAACACACCTTACAGTTTCAGTACGTTGTTAGGTAACTGACTGGATTTTGGCTCAGCTCCCCTTGTTGTCAGCTCCCAGCTGGGAGCTGGGTTTGATCCCAACCATATAAACACATCTGCTATCAAACCTGGATTTGCTAACCAGCATGTTATTTCCTTACCTATATTTTAAGCAGATGACTACAGCAAAACACCTTAAAATCCTCTTGAAAAATATCTGTCCTGTTGAGAATCCCATTCAGCTGAGGAAAATAGATCTCTATCAGATAAAACTGTAAGAACTCGTCTTGAGCACTGCATGTTACAGAGAGACAAGGTGGCAGTTTCAAGGAGAGGTGAAGGGTGACCTCTGGAACAGTCAAGACTAGACTGCGCAGACCAGATCCTGGAACCTGTCTTGCAGAAGACTCACTAGCCATGCTGTTTACCTGATGATATCTCTGACTAGTGTCACAAACTGCATTACCCTGAAAATGGATTTTCCTCTGTTTGTTTTCAATATCAGGCCTTGCAAAAAGAGCAGGATGTTGGTGGGACTTCAAGTAAGACTGAAGTCAGTTACTGACAGACAAGGAACATTTACCCATACTTAACTTTCTACCATCTTTAAAGATCTAGAGTGGCTAGAAGTCTTTTCACACTTCTAAAAACAAAACTCCCACACCCTCCTTTTGCAAAACCTTTAAAATAGTTCTTCTCTCCTCTGGAATTCTCATACTTGTCCTATCTGTTCCCTTCCCACTCTTGATTGTCCTCAAAGACAATAAAAAGAAAAATCAATTCCTTTGACACTAAAACTGGAGTGGGTGGTTAAAAAAAGAAAAAGTGAAATATTTCTAAAATAGAAAAATTAAGATAAAATTGTGTGTAAAAAAAATCTACCCAACCAGCTGTTCAAAACAGTAAAAGGAGAAATAAAGTAATTAATCAGTTCTGCCGATTCCTGAGGATTTTCTGACTGGCAAAAGTAAGATATTTTCTACTTCACTTGCAAATATCATTTCATTCATGTATTAAAAATCACTTCTCAGTTTTTGAGTTGATGAAGGAAACAACATGCTCATGTCAGGTTCAGGGTTTCTTTTTGTTGGTATCAATGCTGCAGGGAGCGGTTTTTCCCTTTATGATTGTAGGAAAAGGAAAACCTACAAAAAACATTGTCACTTACATATAGTGTAAATTAAGGCTTCTGATATACTGCCATTTATATGCAATCACCACTGGGATAAAAAAAAAAATAAAACGTTTCTTCTTGCCTTTTTTTGCCCTGATGAAACATGCTTCTTTTATCTATGTATCTCTGTGAAGAAGGAAAAAGATACCGGCCTCTACCTGGACTTCAGGATTTTACTGTTACAGAACACCTTATCACGATATTCTCCCCACATCACAATCCTGCAAATCTGGGTTGTTTCTTTCCCATCATGAAATCAAGTATGTAAGGTAGAAATCTCTGTTCTTCCTGAAGAGCTGTTTCAGTGCAAGAGATGCTGCTACTGTTTGCTCCTGATGCACAGCCACAGTTCACCAGCATGAAGAAAAGCAACCGAGTTTTGGTAGGAGGCTATGTGAACTCGCTCACAAGAGCAGTCTAATCTCTGGATTACAACTGTTAGGCTGGCCTTGCACTAACAGCTGCTATTTTTTCCATTACAGCTTCTGTACTCAAGGTCCAAGGTGCTAACTGGGTATTTAGTTTCATTTATGACAAAACTTAATAGAAGCAACACAAGGTCTAAATGCTTGGCTTGGTTTTTTTAGGCATTATGGTTGAGGATCTTCAACGTGCAAGGAGATGCAATTCTTAATTGCCTACCTCTAATCTAACATCTTAAAAATCTGGCCCGTGGCTTTACCACAGGGCTAAACATGACCAACAACAATTTTACTTTACAATTTCAATGCAATGTACATAATCACATTATTTTAAAATTATATCAACGCATTTTCAGTCTCCACCATTTCTTATCCTTGAAATTTTTAAATAACTTGTGCTGTCCTATTCCATATATTACATACTTGTCTGTCAGAGACATCCCTTCCTTTCCACCTATTCACTTTTGTTAAAAAAAAAATCTCAGTTATTGCACCATAGTAGCAAGACATAATTTAGAACAGGACCTTTTCTACAGACTTGTAAACAGTATTATGGAGTATTTTCTATCCTGAAATTCCTGTAATCATAATTTTTCTGAATACCTGAAAAAAACCCGGTGGTACAGGACCTACTGGCATGCCATCTCCTGGGGGAATGTTTCCTAGCACTGGACTGGGAGCTGCTGCAGCACTCTGAAAAGAACAAAGGAAGAATAAACCTTTGTCATTGCATGGTAGGCATTAAATCCCTAGAAGAAACCAAACCACACCAAGAACCTTTGTCATTGCATGGTAGGCATTACCGCCCCCCCCCCCAACAAAACAACAAAAACAAAAAAAAAAAAGCCCCCCCCCCAAACAAAAAACAAACAAAAAAAAACTTTAAAAAAAAAACAAAAACCAAAAACCAAAAACACAAAGAAACAAACAAACAAAAAAAAAAAACACAAAAAAAAACACAAAACAACAAAAAAACAAACAAAACCAAAACCTGACCAAAATGCAGAAAGCCATTCTCTGGATATGTCATAATGTCACTGTTTCATCTGAAGGTAAAGTGAAATTGTATACTGATTAGTCTATACAAGTATAATATTTTCTTAAAATAACCAACGAATGTTGAGGGGAAGGATGCTAGGGATTGCACAGACATACAAATGCGCAAATAAATAGATCTCATCTAGATTTTAAAAAATATTGCACCTGAGTCTCTACGTATACAGATGTGAATGTAACTTGCACACTTATGTGTAGAAACATCCTCATGCATACACAAGGATATACATAGCAGATAGTAAAGAAAGTAATTTATGCATGTTATCAGCAATTTCAAAGCACTTTAAAGATAATTCCAGCAGACTGTAATAGTCTTTCAGAACTACATCAAGCTTCAAAACAGGACTGTGTTACAAACAGTACAAGAAGGAACGTTCTGCTGACAATACTTATGATTTTACCAACCCCAAAAATAACCACCACGACAAATTAGAAGAATTCAGGTTACGATTTTTGGAAAGGAAAAGAAAAAACATATTTCCAAGAAGTGAATCAGAGGATGAAATTAGTTACCTTTACAAATCCTTCATCTGGAATAAGCAAATAAAGAATATTGCTTCTGGCAATTTACAAGCAGGAGACAGTCACAAAAAAGGGAAGCCAAACTGTTAGCATTGTCATGTGCTGGAACTTCAATTACTTTTAATTTCTAGTAGCCTTCCTTCCTGTGATATGTTTCTGTAGGGCATAAGGCTGAATTACCTATAAAGACTCACAGTCTCCTGTGGAAGGACTCCTGCACACACAACGCACCGAGATCCACTTGCAGCTTACCTGCCAGTATCTGCCCTACAGAATCTGAATGGCTTATGTTTATTAACATCACTCTATTGTACGCTTATCGCTTGATTTCCAGATGATGCAGATCTGGAAATTTTATTTCCAGGTGTTTGGCACACTATCTAGGAAATAAAAGAATAATGCTGGGAAGAGTTAAAACCAGCAGAAAGAAGGGCTGACCTTTTTAAGTCAAGCAGAAAGGAAACATTCAGTTAATTACCACCAAGTTTTCAATGGCTTAAGCTGTGCTTTAGAATCAACTTTCTGAACAACTAGCAGCAGCATATTTAGCATCTAACCTGTATGATCTTTCTAAGCAAACATCTGGAACGTGGCATTAAAATACAAAGACTGCAGAAGGTGCTAGCTTCGGAACTCAGTGTAAAACTTTGACTCACTAGAAAAACCTGCAACAAAGAGTCTTATTTTTGCAAGGATCTGGTCTGCAGGATCAGTATTAAAATACTAGATAATTGCAACTGACAGGAAAAGCTAGTTGGGTGAATTGGATGTAGCAAACACTTTTGAATCATAATGCCTTCTCATGAGAGGCTACCACAAACCAACCAAGCTAGATGATTAAACTGTAGCTCATAAAGACCATTCCTCACTTGCCACTGCCATTCTTTGGGCACAGCCTGAAGTTCAATAGACTGGGTATGATATGGCTGAAATGCATGCAAAATCATGTGACTCCCTGGAAGTCTCTTGCAGGTCTGTCACAGTATCTTGGCCTCCCAGGCAGAGGGAGAAATAAGCAAGTGGTGTGAATGTACAGAAATCACTCCTAAAGAACAAAGTGATTTTGTTATACTTCTTTTCTTTTGCACGGCTTCTGTGAATGTCCACTGTTTTCAGATTATCTGCATTTTCAAAGGAAAACAGAAGAGAAAGTTTTCACCTTTTTCTTAAGCAAAACCTGACCTGTTTAAGCTGAGCATCAGGTAATAATGCCAAGTAAAACCATGAATAGGTGCAGACACAGTTTGAGTGAAGTATGTTGGATCTTACTTCTGTATGTACAGGTTTTCTAGATGAACAATGTCAACAGCAGAATCACTGATGGAGAAAATCAATGACATTAAAAGGCTAAGCATCTTAAAATGTCCAAAAGAGCCTGCATTGCAGTCTCTTGACTAAGAAGGAGTAACCCATTAAAGGAGCACTAATAACAATGAATATTATTACAATATCAGCCCTCCTTGCATGCTAATTCCTGATCACCCCCATGCTACCTTAGCTGTGCCCATCCTTATCAGCCATGTAATACGCACTGTAGTACATCCAATGGAGCTGATGCTACAGAATAAAGCATTTAAACAGACTATAATAAATCACTGGGCAAACACAGGATGAAGTCAGATAGGCAAAATAAAGTTAAGCTGACAGGTATCAGAAAAATGCTAAGCAGCACCTCCTCTGATACACAATTTTCAAAAGCCTTCCATCCCAGGTTCACTCACGCCTGCTCACATTACTGAACTATACCAGGCATTAATGTATGTCATGGTGTCTTCATGCACTCAGTGGATCTCAGATGTCCCCCTCAACTGCAGCCTCTGCCAGAGCTGCCAGAAGTTTTGAAAGAACGCCTGTGAGAGAAGGAAGGCACAACTTCTCAGGATGCAGTGCTCCTATGGTTGATGAGGTTGTGGCCAGCAGGATGAGGTTCAACAGGACTCAGTGCTAGGTCCTGCATTGGGTCCACAACAATCCCATGGAACTCTCCAGGCTTGGGGAAGAGTGGCTGGGAAGCTGCTCAGTGGAAAAGGACCTGATGATGCTGACTGATGAGCCAGCTTGTGCCTGAGCAGCCAAGAAGGCCAACAGTATCCTGGCCTGTATCAGCAGTAGTGTGGCCAGCAGAACTAGGGCAGTGATCTTCTCCCTGTACTGGGCACTGGTGAGGCCGTACCTCAAATCCTGTGTTCAGTTCTGGGCCCCTCACTACAAGAGAGACATTGAGGTGCTGGAGCAGGTCCAGAGAAGGGCAACGAAGCTGGTGAAGGGCCTGGAGCACAAGTGTGATGAGGAATGGCTGAGGGAACTGGGGGTGTTTAGTCTGGAGAAGAGAAGGCTCAGGGGGGACTTTATGGCTCTCTACAACTGCCTGAAAGGAGGTTGGAGACAGGAGGAGGCTGGTCTCTGCTATCAAGGAACAAGTGACAGGACAAGAGGAAATGGCATCAAGTTGCACCAGGGGAGGTTTACACTGAATATTAGGGACAACTTATTCCCCAAAAGGGTGGTCAGGCACTGGAACAGGCTGCCCAGAGCAGTGCTGGAATCACCATCCCTGGAAGCGTTTACAAACCATGTAGATGAAGCACTTTATGACACAGTTCAGTGGTGGACTTGGCAGTCCTGGGGAACAGCTGGACTTGATGATCTTAAAGGTCTTTTCCAACCCAGCTGATACTGTGATTCTATGGGGATATTGGGTTCTGCTCCCAGTGACTTCATCCTGTTTCTCACACTTTGAAAATCACATTCAAAAGGAAAAATGGTAAAATATACTTATTTTTTTTTAAAAAGGGCAATAATGATTATTCCAAAACAGGGGAAAAAAATACCAAAATTATACTTAACATCTGTTAAGATGTTAGCCATTAAACCCCCTAACAAGGCTTTGTAAGAAATATACGTTTTCATAATTGACTCAGTAGTGGGTTGGGCGGGTTTTTTTTCCTATTTTTAAATCTGACTTAGCACCAATACCAGAGGAACCCAGCTTCGTTCCTTGGTGAACCTCAGAGATGAGCGTGCAACTCTCCAGACCGGGTGAAATAGGGAATTCTTTGAGCTACAGACATGGCAGTGAATGACCCTAAGTCTACCTCACACATGTACTAAGACACAGCTGTCAATTCCTGTGAAGGGGATATGTCCTTTTTGGAGGAGTGGGTTTTGTACAACTTTGTTGATGAAAAAGATACAGAGAAAGGAGATGGAATTAAGCCAACACGTGGGACTCTTCAGGCTAGCTACTCAAAATTAAACTAATTTACTAATGTTGGCTGTTTTTTGCTTGTGGACTATGATGTTGGGAGGTATTCGATGCATTAACGCCTAATTATTTGAGACTTCATTACACTGTGCAGTTTATATACACCATCTCTTCTCTGTATCTCTGAGTGGGAAGGAGGACAGAGCAATGCGAAGTTTCAGTGACCATGACAGTAGGTCACTTTTACTGCTCAATAATTGTAAGAATATTGTAGCTGTAGGTATTCTGCAATAGTCCACTCTTACATGTTACAGCAACTTCAGTTTCTATCTTTAATTATCTAATGTACTGAAGTTTTTTTTCCTGTGTTCATATTTATTTGTTTGGATTTTCTTCCCTGATGGGCGTTTTCAGTGCTATAGGTGTTTTATATATATATATATAGCTTGTGCTATCCAATGCATGTTTTAAGAACTTGTACCAGGTAGATCAATAAACAATCTTGCAACTCCTGCACTGAAATACTCTTATTTATTCTATACTGATGAATTATTCAGTTCTTTTCTCATAGTCCCACAGCAAACCATGGCTTCTTTTTGCATGCATTACAAGTTGTTCATCATTTATGCTTCCATTAGTTTGACATTTTAAATATTTGTAATTTGCTTTCCCTGCTTTTCATAAACGGATGATACGGGAAAATTTATATGGTTTTATCTTTTTGTACAGTATCTTACCTCCTTAAAATTAGAAAACTATTTTCTTTTGTAGCTAAAATACTAAACTTATGATATCTCCTTACAATTATTAATTGAAATGGTGTACCTGAATGAAACTTATTGTGGTGATTCTTTGATCTACCTAAGCTACTCTTAACATTGCAAAATAGATGATTGTGTTAAAAAAATTA